GTTTTTGCTTGAAGACAGCATCAAGCTTGAAGGGCCGAGACAGAGCAGACTATACTGGAAATGTTATGTTTTCTCATCTGAATAGCGACTGAAGAGAAACTGAGTTTCACTGTTTTTTCTTTGTCAGGAAATACTCTGTGAATTTATATTTACTACACCCCTAACATTTACTTTATATTACACCCCTAACATAAGTGGGTGAAACTTGTAAAATGGTGCTTTGAAAAACTTGTATGCTAGTATTACTTCAGTTTCATGTTTTAGTTTCTCCAATTAAATTTTGTTTCTGGGCTGACAATTTGAATCTCTATTTTGGACTGCATAGTGCTTTTAACTTTTAATCCACTCATGACCCGGACTAGAGACCTATTTTACCCGAAGACTAGACTTGATTTGGTGGATATGAAGTAGAGTTGTAAACAAATTGAACTCCACGTCCTAATACTCGCTTGAGCCTTTGTCGATGAGTTTAAGCTACTCGTTTATCAAAATTAACGAGCGGTCTCGGATCTTAACAAGTCGAATTAACTCAATACTTCAAAGACTATGTAAAAACTTCTATATGTCAAACCTAACGAGTTTTGTCAAATTTGAACTCGATAGCTTATTAAATGAAATGAAACGAATTTGAAGCTTCACAACAAGAGTTGGTCGAACCCATGACCAATTTGGGTTTGTTTTGACAGTTTTATCTCATAGTTTTTTGTAATGACTTATGCGCTCTCCAAATAACGAGCTTAAGTTGCTTAACAATTCTAGAACTATAATGAAGCTACATCCTAGCTTCCTCCAATTAACGAGCTCAAGGTATTTAACAGTTCCTCCATTTAACGAGCTCGAGTTGTTTAACGGTTTTAGAACTAGTACGAAATCACATCAGACAGCTTTTTTTAGTATTTATGCATAAGGACATTCGTGCCCTCTAATTAAAATTGTTTATTTTAGAACTAGTGCGGGACCCTCTGACAGTTTTTCCTAGTAATTTTACATAAAGACCCTCTAATTAAGATTTGTTTAACAATCTTACGAAATCACATTCGAGAGCTTTTCTTAGTAATCTATACTTATATTATAAGGGATGGTATTTACGAAATATAGCAGGTTGAAAAGTTAACCTTAATTAATGATTTGTTATTTTTATTAATTATTTAATTAATGCATCTAATATTTTTGGTATGCAAATCAAATTAGCATTTAATTAATTCCTAAAATATTGGATATGCAATATTAATTTAGGAATATCCATGTAGTTCCTAAAATGTTGGTATGCAATACGTAAAAGAAGATTTTTTAATTTTTTTAAATATAAAATATTGCAACACGTAAAACTATTCCAGTTATTTTTTTTATTTTATTTTACATATAAAATTTAATCAATATTTAATGTATCCTACAAAATTAGATTTAGTTTAATTCTCCATACAATTGGTTATAACTTTTTCAGTTGTACATTTATTTATTTATCTATTTTACACTTTTAAATTAATGAAGCTCTCCGAACATTATTAGGTAGTTTCAAACATTATTTGTGAATAATATAGAATATTTTAGATGCTTTTATAGATGTTATAAAATATTTTAAGTATTTTTAATATTTATATATCACACTTAAAAAGAATATGTTGCCAAAAAAAAACATTAAATGCACATTGTAAATGTTAATAAAAACAGTCTTCAGTATTCATCTTTGATTTTGTCAAAACAAATCTCATAAAATCGGTGAAGTCAAAATTTGTACGTAAAGTCTATCTATACTGAAAAAAGGTAGATTCAAAATTCTTTATCTAATTTCTTCTTTTATTTATGTAATTCCTTCTTATTATCAAATTGTATAGAAATTTGTTCTGATTTTGTTCAATCCTCTAATTGTATTTGTATCATATCCCATAAAATCGGTTTAACAAAAAAAATCCCATAACATCCAATAAGTAAAAAAAAGTACGTAAAATCTTTACTAACATAAAAAAGGCTTTATTTATTATCTAATTTATTATCTAAATGTATGGAAATCTGTTCTGATTTTATAGTGCGTACTACAAATTGTGCACCCGTGTTCAGGAGCTACTTAACGGGCAAGCTATGTGGAAATAACTCATTTAGTGCTTCTGTCCCGTGCATACGGTATGGATTTTATTACACATACTAGAAAATTGTGCACCCCGTGCATCGTACGGACTCTGTACTAATAAATGACCTTAAAATTGTGCACCCCGTGCATCACCCGTGTTCACATTTTGGCCTATTACAGGTCACGTACTATTTATATCCCGTATATTTTTTGTATTCATTTATATAATTATAAGACTTGATAAATAGTCTTAATTTTGTGCACCCCGTGCATCGCACGGGATCTGTACTAATATTACGTAAGGACTTTCGTGCCCTCTAATTAAAAATTATTTAACAATTTTAGAACTAGTACGAAATCAACAGCTTTTTTTAGTAATTCTATGTAAGGACTTTTATGACCTCTAATTAAGAATTGGAACAGTTTTATAACTAATATGAAACCAATCCGACAACTTTTTCTTAGTAATTCTATGTTAGGAATTTCAAGCCCTCTAATTAAGGATGGTTTAGGATGTGATTGAATATGAATTTGATTAATTCTTTTGTTAACTATAGTTAATTTTAAAAAATATGGTATGATTAGTTGTCAGTGAAAATTTAAGTTTAAATTAAAATAATATTTAAAATAAAATTAAAGTTGATTTGATGTAAAAGTATGAGAAAAATGATTGAAAGTGATGGTTAGTTAAAATTACGTGAGTATATGAATAGTGAATTAAAGTTAATGTGATGTCGAAGAATGATTGGTTGATATTATTTAATTATATTGATAATATTGAGAATAGTGAGATTCGATTAAATTTGAGTTTTGATTGTTTTTTCTTTGTTAAGTTTATATGCAATCACACCTTTAGGGCTTGATTTTTTATGAAATAGTTTGTTCAAAATGAGTTATTTTGGTTAACCATAGTTAATTTTGAAAAACGTGGTATAGTTAGTTGTTAGTGAAATTTTAAGAATGAATTAAAATAATATTTAAAATAAAATAATTAAAATTGAATTTATGTAAAAGTATGAGATAAATGATTGGAAATGATAGGTAGTTAAAATTATGTAAATAGATTAATAGTGATTTAAAGTTGATGTGATGTGTAAGAATAATTGTCTTGTATTATTTAATTATATAAATAATATTAAAGATAATAGAATTGAGTTAGATTTTGAGTATGAAATAAAATTGAGTAAATTATTTCATAAACAATCAAGCCTAAGTATTCTATAGCCTTCGTTATTGTCCATGATTTACCATTAGTCCATTGGTTAAATAGGCAACCGCGACGTTATGACCGTAAAATTCTATCCACCCTTCTTTTCCTATATATAGTCCTTTATCCTCAATCTGAATTCTGCATATATGAACCTCTTCTGCCTTCTAATTAAAATTGTTTAATAGTTTTAGACGGTTTTGTTATGGAGTCAACAGTTGGCTCCATAGTGGAGCCAACCTTCTATATACATCAAATAAACCTACCATATTCTTTGATTACCTAAATAACATTAATATAATTTTGTGAATATGGTAGGTTTATTTGATGTATATAGAAGGTTGGCTCCAATATGGAGCCAACTGTTGGCTCCATAGCAAAACCGTAGTTTTAGAACTAGTACAAAACTAAATTCGAAGTAAGGACTTTCGTGTTCTCTAATTAAGATTTGTTTAACATTTTTAGAACTAGTACGAAACCAAATCCGACAACTTTTCTCAGTGATTCCAAACCACATCTGAAAGCTTTTCTTAGGATGTGTTTGTATACAAAAAATTTCAATTCATACTCAATTCATATGTTAACTTTAACTAAATTTCACTATCCTAAATATAATTAGTGTAATTAAATAATACCAATTAATCATTCTTACACATCACATCAACTTTAATTTACTATTCATCTGCTCACATAATTTTAACTAACTATCACTTCAAATTATCTCTCTTACTTTTACATCAAATCAACTTTAATTATTTTATTTTAAAATAATATTTTAATATAAAAATTAAAATTCTACTAACAAATAAGTATACTATTTTTTTAAAATTAATTATAATTAATTAAAAAACTCATTTTGACCGCAAATATTTGTATACAAAGACGCTCTTAGTAATTGTATCATTGTATGTAAGAACTTTTGTGCCCTCTAATTAAGAATTGTTTAACATAGTAGGAAATCACATCCGACGGAACGACGGCTTTTACTTGTAACTAGTGCGTAGCCTGTGCGATGCACGGATAAACAATATGACTTTCATAGCATGTAATATTGTATTATAACACGTGCAAAATAAAATCTACATCTTAAGTTCATATTTTATGTTTTTAATGGAATAAAATCATTCATTTTAGGGATCATATGTATTTAATCTGTCCAAATTTATCTACATATCGACAATTTGTGAATTTGAAGATAACCTGATCTATGATTGCAAAATATCATTTAATAATTAAATCAGCCGCGACTTTAGGATTTGGTATTTTGAAACCTAGAAAAAATAAAATCATTAATTTAGGGGAGTTATGTGATAAATCTATCTAAATCTTGTATACATCACGTTTTACAATTAAAGCAATTTAAATATAGAGATTAAGATATTTTGAATCTCTGATTTAAACAAAGATCATAAAAAATTTGATTTGGTATTTTGAATTTTTTAAAAAAAATCATTAATTTAGAGGATGATATGTGATAAATCTATCTAAATCTTGTATACATCACGTTTTACAATTAAAACAATTTAAATATGGAGATTATTCTTATTTCAAATCTCTGATTTAAACAAAGACCATAAAAATTTTGACTGTTTCAAAATTAGACCCGTGTATTATTTTTCTTTATAAATAATTGTCAAACAAACCAATTGAATCAGCCGCAACTTTATTCTTTTAATTGAAACTGCCCGATTTGATGGTTAGAAAAAATGTTTTCAAAAGAGATAAACAAATGACTTTTTTTTATATATATTTTTACCTTAAATTAGCCGTAATTTTGTTTAAATAAAATTTGCTAATCAAAACATATGAATTAGCCGATTTTATAGAAAAAAAAGTTTCCGATATTTTGAAAATACAAAAGCATATTTTTATGGATAGAAAAAATAACACATAATTTTTTTTATTATTAAATCAGTCGTAATTTTTTTATTAAAAAAAAGCTGTCAAGCAAAGCAATTGTATTAGCCGAATATCCGGTTTTAAATTTGGAGAATATAATTAACCCATATTTAATTGAATTAGCAGTCGTGACGTACATTTTTATTCAAATTTAAAAATAGCTTATTGTAACCAATAACCAAATTTAATTGATGCAGCCCGTGCATTATCAGCTTTTGATATACACATCGTGTCAAACCATCGCAAATATTCAATGGACCAAATTTAAATAGCAGCCCACTTTTCTGAAAATAGAAAAATAACAAACTCCTCATTTTAAGGACAACATTTAATGTTGTCCATTTTTTAGTATAAAACCAGTATGAGTCCCGTGCAATACGGGTAAGAGATATTCATTAATATTTATAAATTAAAATTTTTTATTAAATAATATTTATAAATTAAAAATATGAAATCAATATGTAATATAATTTACCGATATTAATTTATTAAAAATGTTATATAAAGTTTAAATTGTCGAAAATTACATAAAAATATCTATTTAAAATTAGTATGCAACCCGTGCTGTGTACATAACTGATAATAAATTACATTATATTCGGTTCAAGATAAGTATCATTTCATTTTTTTTTTATTCAGAAAATCGATTTGATTATATGTGATTTTATAAAATAGTTATTTTGGTAAAATGTTATCATATATTTAACAACCTATATGAATAATAAGTATAAATATAAAATTCATATTTTTTCATTGCTCAAAATAATTTATTATTGTATAAACTATTCAAATAAAAAAAATTAAGTAGTTGAGTAATTTATTAAACTATAAATAATTGACTATTTCATTTACGTCCAAGTTACTATTGACCCGTAAGTTATTGAATAATTTATTAAACTATAAATAATTGAATATTTCATTTACATCCAAGTTAATATTTACCCGTGAGTTATGAATAATTATTTTTTATTTTTAAATTTAAATAAAAATCTTTTTTTTTCAATATATTATATATCAAAATTAAACCATGCAACTAATATATGTAATAGCTGTAAGTTTTGTCAATATATTATGTTCCAAATTTAAATTATGCAAATAATAAAGGTAATAGCCGCAATATTTGACCAAAATGATTATGTACATTAATTTAGGCAAGATTTTTTGAATTTTGACCAAAATATTACTCAATATAGTAAATACTTTAGGCGGGAAACCAAATATTTTTTTGTTGATTTTTAGTTGTTATTTCAAGTAAATATAATTGTCATTTTATATATTAATAGATTAATAAAAAATGACTTTTAGTGCACAATAATAACATAAAAAGATTTCATGCAATAAATCTGACTTTTTGCATAATAATAACATAAAAAGATTTCATGCAATTCTGATAAATATTTAGCAAGAATCTTGGAAAATATTTTTACTTTCTTAGTATACTATTTCAGAATTTTAATTAGGTTAAAATACTATTTACTTTGTTAATTAGATCAGTGTAAATATTTATTGGAGACCTGAATGTAATATTTTATATGCAAATTTAACTTCTTAACTATAGTAGACGTTTGCACAGTTTTATGTTTTAGAAATTTTATTTTGTCAAGTCTCTATCAATAAGAGTTTCAATATTTTCAAATTATGTTTCCTTGGGATTGTGGATTTGGTATTGTTATTAGTAATTATCATTTAGAAGATTACAAACTGACATTTTGAACATTGGATTTGAGATTGTATTGGCATTACGTTTCTTTTTCCGATTTTTATTTAGCAAGAATCTTGGAAAGTATTTTTGATCACAATCTTAGGATTATTTTTCGTAATATTTTTTTAATTTCAAAGTATACAAACCGACATTGTGGATTTGTGATTGTATTGCCATTATGCTTATTGCTCATATGTTTGAGTTTTTGTGGCGATTAAACGTACTGATAATTAGGTTTAAAATTAGTTTAATTCTGATTATAAAACAAACATGAATAAAAAAAATATTCACACAGATTTAAAAAAGTATTCACATAGATTTTCACACATTAAATTGTCCCGTTTTAATGGGTAAACTATTGTTTAAAGCAATAAAGTGAAATTGTACGATTTAAGTTAGTGAAATATTGTTTAAATTAAATATTTTTTTAATTTTTTATTAGCATAAAATAAATTGGGGAATTAATCAATTGTTTAAATTGTAATTTGTTTTTGGCATAAAATAAATTAGAAAGAATTAATCTATTTTTTAAAATGAGCTAAAATCATATTTTGTTTATTATCAAACTAATCATTTTATAATTGTCATGACAATTAGGTTTTAGTGTAGTTAAAAAAAATGAAGTGCATATGGATAGACATTACACAAACTTAGGGGTGATATTATTGCCAATTTGTTAAAAAAATGAAGTGCATATCGGATACACTACAACTTAGGGCCGAATTATTCTCTCGATTTTCTTACCAAAAAAACCGAAATGAAACAATTCAAATTTTTGAAAAAATTTGAAGCCCAAAAAAATACTACCCTATTTAGTAAATTTTATTGTTTAGGCGGGAATTGAAATTTTTTTTGTTGATTTTTTCTTGTTATTTTCAGTAAATATCATTCTCTCTTTATATATTAATAGATTCTGTGTTAGGAATTTCGAGCCCTAAATTTTATAAAATAAATAAATAAATAAAATAAAAAAGATCGAGCCCTAAACTCTATAGGTAGTAGTATGAAGCCAAAGTTCGGTGCATCAACTTCGTTTTTGTCCATGATTTTACCATATAGCCCCTCCATTGAACCCTCAACCGCGAGGTTATAGCCGTAAAATTTTATCTACCCTTCTTCTCCTATATATAGTTCTTTATCCTCAATCTAAACTAGTACAGTACCCGTGCGATGCACGGGATGGTATATTTTCCTGAAATGTTTAACGTGTGAAATATTAAAAATAATATAATTTATATATATGTAATAAAAATAAATGGATTGCAAAGAAGGAAAAAAAAAATATAAATTATTGAACACTTTCTTTGTGAAGTAAAATTTGTGAAGGTTTGGTATATTTGATTATGAATAGAAAAGTATGAAATACTACCTGCGGACCGTTGAGATAGATGAGAAGATTTACTTAGAATATATAGAATAAATATTGAGATAATGATTTACCTTTTACCTAGTATAGATAAAATAAATATTGACATGATGTGGGAAAATTATGACGAATTATGACATAAATTCGTTTAGAAAATATTCAAAAATTAGATTTATTTTTTATTTTTTAAATCTTTACAGTAATTCGTACGTTCCTTTTCATACGCTTAATTTATCAATTTTACACATACAAATCAAAATTAATGCAACTCGAAATATTATATAACAAATAAAATGAGATTTTTATCTAACATTTAGTATATTGCCGGAAAATTTTTTATAAATCTTATTCTCTTTTTATGCACATAGATATTAAAGAATGAGTAAAAAAAATATCTAAATATGTTTAAAAGTATCTAATATTATATGTGTTAACAGTGTTACAACCAAAAGACATTAAGAATACGCAGACTATTATATAACATATGTGAAAGTATTAAAATATTTTATATTATTATTGAAAAATGTGAAATTACCTCAATTTTGTCTAGACTATTTTATAAGAAAAATATATATACTTAAAGTTAGCACACACATATATATATATCCTTAAAATTTGCCCAACTAACATGTTTAAAAGTATATAAAATTTTATATATAAAATACGTTTAAAGTTTACATATTTTACAAAAATTAGACTGCTCTCAGTTTATATAAAGTTTGTTGCTCTCATATTCGGATAATGTATTATGCATTTAATGAAAGCACCTACGATACAAATTTATAAATATTAATTAAAATAATTTTCTAAATTATATAAAATTGAAATAACAAAGGTAAATATTACCTGTTCATCATGAAAATGCGTTACAGCTCTCCCATTCGTGATGGGTTTGAATAATGCGGACTGCTCGTGATGGGTTTCAATAATGCGGACTGCTCTCAGACGCAAAAAAAGGTTTGTTATAAATATTAATTAAAATAATTTTCTAAATTATATAAAATTGAAATAACAAAGGTAAATATTACCTGTTCATCATGAAAATGCGTTACAACTCTCCTGTTCGTGATGGTTTCAATAATGCGGACTGCTCTCTCCCGTTCGTGATGGGTTTCAATAATACGGATTGCTCTCAGACGCAAAAAAGGTTTGTTATAAATATTAATTAAAATAATTTTCTAAATTATATAAAATTGAAATGAAAAAGGTAAATATTACCTGTTCATCATGAAAATGCGTTATAGCTCTCCCGTTCGTGATGGGTTTCAATAATGCGGACTGCTCTCAGACGCAAAAAAAAGGTTTGTTTCTTTTGTTAACGTACCCAGTCTGGAAGCATTATATATCAAGTTTACCCCAGCCTGGAAGCATTATATTGTATATGCGATGAAAAATTATTCTCTGTATTTTTTTTTTCTCTGAACTCGTGAATGATGAGTTGTAATGGCGGTAGTGAATATCCTTTTATACAATTTTTTATTAACAAAAGTGATAAGATAATTATGGATTGTATTTGGATAGATTTTAAATAGCATGATTTTTGGGACGCAACAACAAAATATGCAATCACATGTATATATCTTATCACGTTAAAGGTATATCCATCCCTAAAAAACAGGAAAAAAAAACATATATTTTGAAAAGATTTTTAAATTAGTTTCTACAAATGGAAAGTCAATGGGGTTGTTTGACCAATTTTTTAAAAGTTTCCACAAATGATTTATTGACCTCTATTTTTCAATATATAAAGATTCTGAATATCTGAACCTCTCCGCCTCAAAATCCAATCAGGTCTTCCCCGTTTCTCGTAATTCCTTCTGTGTCCCCTCCAATGGCGGCAATCTCCAGCTTCTCCTCGCGCCCAAATTCCAGCCCCATCCTAAACCCTAACTTCATCTCCCCCATGCTGCAGCCGTACCTTGATCAGCAGCGGCAGCATGTTCAACCAGACTCGCCGCCGGACGATCGGACCTCCTACGACACCGATCTGGACGAAGGGTACAGCGGGTCCATCTCCTCCTCCGAAGACAGCTCCATCGCTCTAAACCCAAAGCTAAGCTCAAACCCTAGCCCGATCAAGCTCCTCCATGTCTCATTCAACCAGGACTACGGCTGTTTTGCCACCGGCAACGACCGGGGGTTCAGAATCTACAACTGCGACCCTTTCCAGGAGATATTCCGCCGCGATTTTGACGGCGGCGGTGGTGGGATGGGCGTGGTCGAGATGCTCTTCCGATGCAACATCTTTGTCCTGGTAGGTGGCGGAGATGCGCCCCAGTACCCGTTGAACAAGGTCATGGTTTGGGACGATCACAAGAGGCAGTGCATTATCGAGCTTTCCTTCAGGTCGGAAGTGCGTGGGATCCGATTGCGGAGGGACCGGATTGTTGTTGTCCTTGAGCAGAAAATTTACGTCTACAATTTTGTGGATACGAAGCTGTTGCATCAGATTGAGACGATTGCAAACCCCAAGGGGCTCTGTGCGGTTTCGCAGGCTGCGGGTTCATTTGTTTTGGTTTGCCCGGGGTTACAGAAGGGGCAGGTCAGGGTAGAGCATTACGGGTCTAAGAGGACTAAGTTCATCATGGCTCATGATTCGAGTATTGCGTGCATTACGCTGTCTCAAGACGGTAACTTTCTGGCAACGGCGAGCAGTAAGGGGACTTTGATTCGGATATATAATACGCATAACGGGAGTTTGCTGCAGGAGGTAAATTCAGTTAACTGTAAGATGTGTTCCCTCGTAACTATTACGTGTTATGGTGCAAAACTGTATGCTGTGTGTAACTTTAATTTGCTTGACTTCTGTTGATGAAAGAATCACAGTTTAGCATGCCCTGTACACTGTATGTTTTAACTATGGTCAGTGAGCTGACTTACTAGTAATTGCAATGGTACATATATGTCATTTGTGTGAAACTAGTGCCGCTGTGTTCCATCACAAGTTGATATTGTGTGGATCAGCAGGTTTCAATTATTACAATGGCTGCCGCTATTGTTCGATACTTTCGGTAGTTCTGCCTATTTATACCTGTGCATTTAGTACTATGTATCTCTACTCCCTAGAGATGCTTTCTTGTAAAGCATGGATGAGTTATACTTTTCAAGTGTTATATATGTTGTGTTGTATTGAACTGGATTTGGTACCAAATGATTGCGTCTTTTTAAATTTTAATGTGATTTATGTCTATGGATGTGGAGAAAAACACTTTTCTGTTATTTTTCTCTTTTCTTCCATTTGTCGTTCGTTTATTGATATGTCTACATATGCGCTCAATGATATAAACATCTAAGGATTTAATTTACCAGAAAAACTGATGCAGGTACGAAGGGGGGCAGACAGGGCAGACATATATAGTCTGGCATTTTCACCCACAGCCCAGTGGCTGGCACTCTCAAGTGATAAGGGCACTGCTCATGTTTTCGGCCTTAAGGTTAATTCTGGATATGCTGGAAGCGAACGGTCGAGTAGTCCCGAGTCAAAGCCTTCCATTGCGACTTCAAGTTCTTCCTTGTCTTTCATTAAAGGTACAATGATTTTATTACATATACTCTTTTCTGTTGAAAATTATGTGACTGTTCATGAAAAAATGTAAAGTGGAATTGTGTTGCTCAGTTGATATCCTTAAGTAACTAAGACAGTAAATAGGTTATTCACCCTGTAGTTTGAGAACACGTGTTGAGAATGAAGGATCAGAGAATTAATTAGCACTCACAATACATTTATTATTATATCTAAAGTCAGATAACATGACCAACACCGAAGCTGTTAAGATTTTTGTTTACTCGATGCCTAGGCTGAACTTCCTCACCCCCTTTTATTTAACCTTATATAAAAGGCAATAGATAATAAAGAAAAAGGACGATAACGATTTGATAGTTTTCATGCCAATGGGCCAGGATATGATTCCAACTAATCCCATGATTTCGGCTTCCAATACCTCAGTTGATTTTTAGTCCTTTCCAACTTTTAATTTCCTTAGAGTAAACAACCCACTGTTTCTTGATCCTTATTTGTATCAGTAAGAAAATGCAAAATGGAGCTCCATGCATATGTATATACAGTGAAATATTTGAATTCGATTTTTTTATCTCGATTAGCTTCCTCTGTTCCTGTAAATAGTTCCATTTTGTTCCGTTTGTCATTTGATTTTATAGTAGTATTATTTTTACCATCAGTTCTGTGTTATCACAGGAGTGCTGCCGAAGTACTTCAGCTCAGAGTGGTCTGTAGCCCAGTTTAGGTTACCTGAAGGATCCCAATATATTGTTGGTTTTGGTCACCAGAAGAACACAATGATAATTCTCGGCTTAGATGGAAGGTCAGTCATATAAACACCTTTACGCTACTTGTCTTAATTAATTAAAAAACATCCCACATTGTTCTAGTTGATACGCAGTTACTCTGCTATAGTTTCCCATATCTTCTTCTGCAGTTTAAGGGGTGTAAAAAATATCGGCAATTCACATTCTTCTCCCTTCATTCCTGTGGTATTCTAAATAACTCCCTCGTGGTTTGACTTAATCGTAGGTAAAAAACTAATTATGGCTCGAATTAGCAACGACCTCCTTCAGCTTTTGCTAACATTTGCTTGGATCTGTACATTCCACACAATTTCAGCTAGGAGTGTTTTCTTACAATATAAACTGAAATTCAAGGGTAGTTTCGGTTATTATAAACCCAACATGCCATAGGTCTGAATTTGCTATCTTTTGCACCATAAATATCTTGTTTCACACTCATACTCTTCACAATTGGATTGTTTGCAGTTTCTACAGATGCAAATTCAACCCAGCAACTGGTGGGGAGATGACTCAGTTGGAGTATCACAATTTTCTGAATCCGGAAGAAGCTTTCTAGTGTAACTCACCCGTTTTTCTTGCTAATTTGTGGGTAACACTACACACACCTGAAGTAAATATTAAGTGTAAATAGTAACCAACAGTTTGAAACTGGTGATATGCAAGGAGTCTTTCTAAGTTATGCAAATCACATATAGTCCTGTTCTTTGTCTGCTTGTCCTTTGTTTCTGGTCCTCACATTTTCTGAATTTCATATTCACCCAAAATTATTTGCAATTTTCTACCTATGTAGATTAACACGCACCTATATAGATGTGTGGGAATGTGCATGGTCTGATGGTTAAAACCTATGTAGATGTGTGTAAAGTGCATGATTTGATGGTTAAAACCCTTCGCGATCTTGCCTTTGGGGTGGGATCGGCCATTTTGTTAGAAAAAAAGTAAAAAAAAAAAAAAGGTCAAACAAAAAACAGAAGGAAGATGATCAATTTGTAGCTAATGTGGTAACCTTTACTTTTGTACAAAATGTGAAGTGTAAATGCTTGTGCTTTTGATTTAATTTATTGGAGTTCTTTTGCTAGGGGGACTAATAGTTAAGCTGACATATACTTTTTATAAATGTAAAGAAATGTCATATTTTGAAAAATCACGGAACTGACATTTGATAGTATAAAATATAAATGTACGTATTGTCAATTAAAAATATATATTTTAAAAACAACATAACGTATGACAATGTCAGTAGAAGTATTTTTGTTCAAAGGATGTGATGAATCGACTTACATAACTTTTAGTTATCGTATATAAATTTGTGTATAATTTATAGCAATTGAAAAAAAATCAATAACCTGACACAAAATCAAATAATTTAACCTAAAATAGTAGAATGTAATTCAAATTTGTCAAGTACTCACCTAAAACGTAAACATTCAACTCGAACCCTATCACACGAACTAAATTTTAATATCTCCCAAGAAAAATATTGCTTGAAAGGGTGGCGAGAACAACTCTCAACTACTATAAAATTCACTGCAAAATACTTCATTCTCTTCACCATACTAAAGTATCTTCACTTATTTTCTCTATTCATGTTCTTGATTGGAACTAATTAGTAGTTCACCATACTAAAGTATCTTCACTTATTTTCTCTATTCATGTTCTTGATTGGAACTAATTAGTAGTTCATTATGACAATAAAGGTCCATGGAAATATATCTTCACCTGCAGACTGCATTACAGAGAGTTCTTCTCTGTTTAGCAGAGAAATGACTCAATTACNAAAAAGTAAAAAAAAAAAAAAAGGTCAAACAAAAAACAGAAGGAAGATGATCAATTTGTAGCTAATGTGGTAACCTTTACTTTTGTACAAAATGTGAAGTGTAAATGCTTGTGCTTTTGATTTAATTTATTGGAGTTCTTTTGCTAGGGGGACTAATAGTTAAGCTGACATATACTTTTTATAAATGTAAAGAAATGTCATATTTTGAAAAATCACGGAACTGACATTTGATAGTATAAAATATAAATGTACGTATTGTCAATTAAAAATATATATTTTAAAAACAACATAACGTATGACAATGTCAGTAGAAGTATTTTTGTTCAAAGGATGTGATGAATCGACTTACATAACTTTTAGTTATCGTATATAAATTTGTGTATAATTTATAGCAATTGAAAAAAAATCAATAACCTGACACAAAATCAAATAATTTAACCTAAAATAGTAGAATGTAATTCAAATTTGTCAAGTACTCACCTAAAACGTAAACATTCAACTCGAACCCTATCACACGAACTAAATTTTAATATCTCCCAAGAAAAATATTGCTTGAAAGGGTGGCGAGAACAACTCTCAACTACTATAAAATTCACTGCAAAATACTTCATTCTCTTCACCATACTAAAGTATCTTCACTTATTTTCTCTATTCATGTTCTTGATTGGAACTAATTAGTAGTTCACCATACTAAAGTATCTTCACTTATTTTCTCTATTCATGTTCTTGATTGGAACTAATTAGTAGTTCATTATGACAATAAAGGTCCATGGAAATATATCTTCACCTGCAGACTGCATTACAGAGAGTTCTTCTCTGTTTAGCAGAGAAATGACTCAATTACGATTTAATTCATGTAGATTTTGCAATTGGTGAGCACAAGAAAGAGCCCTTTTTTCGCTCGATGTAAGTTACAAACTCGAGATGATCTTTGTAGTATTGAAGCTTATTTGTTCTATTGTTTTAGTTTGATGTATATTTACTTCTACAAGTAAAATAATCTGAGTTTGAAAAGAAAACCCCACCTGTTGCAAATGAGTGAATATCTCAAGCACTCAAATCCTCTTGATCTACACGATTAAATATCTATTATAAACCAGTATTCGACCTGTGCATTTGCACAGATATAATTAAATTATTGTGAGTCTGTACATATAATGATTAATTATTTTTCTTTCACTTTTTTGCAGACCAAATTTACAATTAAAAGAGTTGGAATATTTTTTTTTTTGAAATTGCGTTTATCTGATTGGATGTAATGTATATTTTGGTACTTCTTTTATTTGTGAATTATTTATTATTTATTTAGGAATTTTAAATATATTTTTTATTTTCAAAAAAAAATTAAATGTAACAACAATAATAACATCTAATCACATTATACAGTCAACACATTATATGGTCAACTGTCATTAATCAAAAGTTTAAAATGATTTTTGTAATTTTGAAGTGATGAGTATTAATTATTTAATGATTAAATGAAAGATTAAATACATCAAAATGTAACGGTTTTTGGAGAGAAAATTGTTAATATGCCACATAGGTAAAATTAAATAAGTTTTATTAAATTCTATTAGCTAGTAATTATATATATATAGATATACTACGCAAAATTAATAAATTTAAAGAAGTATAAATTCTAAAATTACCTAAATTAATATTAATATTTTCAACTTGCTGGCTGGAGTTTAAAGCCGGAAATGGAGTTGAAAAGATGGATTTAGGCTCCTAACGGATTAAGATTTACAAGTGAGGAACCAAGCCGCAAATTATACATTCACGCCTAACCTTCATTTTAATACACGGTCCCAAAATTACTCTCTTCTCCATGTGGGCCTAGCCCAGAACTAAACTAATAAAGACACAGGCCACTTCTACAAAACACACACACACACACACTTTTCTTCCTATTTTTCTTTCTGCATAATTAATTACACGCCGAAGACAAAAGAACTCGCCCAAATTCCATTTGCTGCAATTCGCCCTTCACTCCAACACTCACAAATATCAAGCTTAAATTCCTTTGGATCCCCAAAAATCCCAATTTATTAATCAGTGAAGGAATCTTGAAGGAAGGGCGAACCAGTTGTAGTGAGCTGTGAGCGCCATTGTCGTCGCTACAGGTCGTCAATCTTCAGTCCTTTTTTCTCTTCATCATCTCTAAAATTTATATGTTTTTATATATCAACTGCTATGCTCGTATGTGAAACGTATAAATTTACCGCTGAGTGCGCAAAACGTAGTACGAATGTGAATAAACAGTTGTAAAATACGGAAGCAACACACGGAAGATATCAAAAACTCTTCAGAGAAGTATCTCACCCCATTAGAACTCTTTCATTGATAAATCGCAACATTGCATAGTTTGGACTTACAGGACTTGAACTCCCTTCTAGTCTAGCCACAATTACACACGATCCTATCAACTAATTCTCCGGCCACGTCCCGTGGACTTTTGAACAACACTTAATCCCTAAGTGTAATGTATGAAAAATAGTTTGAATGAAGAACAACGAAAACAAACTCAAAGAGCTTCAGTTCACAGATACGTGAGAACCTTTGAACTGAACTGTGAACAAAATATAAATCTCTGAACAACTCTCAAGACTCGAATATTGCTCGTGTGTATAATTATCTTCAGCAGCCTGTATTCGATCTTTGATGTTGGGTATTTATCCAGTCTCCTTAGGGTTGGAGTATTCTCCAAGAATGGGACTCTTTCTTTTTCCGATTTCTTTCCAAGTAGCATGTGATAAGATAAGTGAAGATTTCCTCCTTCTCTCTCCTAGATCTCCTCCATGCGTGCGTCTTTCTTTTCTTATACTCATGAGATCCGATTCCCTACAAAATACGAGACATAATAGGATCAAATAATTCTTTTAGAAAATATAAACTAAATTAGGAAACAATAGTACATGAAGAACTTCCCTTATATAAAGAAACCTAATGCATGCAGGAACTCGATTGTACGAACAACTTCGATTTCGAACTTATGCCAAAATAATATATCTTTCAGTATGGACATAGAATGGATTTGGCGTTATTTCCTATGATTTGTTTNGTTTTTTTTTTTTTTTTTTTTCCTTGTTCATCCTCTCTTGCGTTCTGATCTTAGCTTGCTTTTCTCAGCTATTTGCTCATTTTTATTTTTTTTAATATTTCCTTTCCTTTCTTTGGGCAGATAAGTTGACAGTTGAAATATGGATCTTTTGGTGGTAACATTATTTCTAGGTTTTGTATTATGCGTGTTAATTGTTGCGCCTCGTATTCGTAAATCTGGTTAGTATTTTGCGCCCATTTGATAAGTGTGTCCCTCTATTTCTGGGTTGATTGATTTAATTTTGAATTTTATGGTTTGCAGATGATGGGAAACTGGGAAAATCTCATGTCAGTGCCAAGGTACTTTGATTCTTGGTTTGCTGCTTTTGAATGTCCATTTATCAGATATATTGTATTATTTTGTTTTGAGTTAATAGTGCAATACTAATTTCTTTCTCTCAAGATTTGAACTACTTTCAGTAAGGCTATGTGTTGTTGTACGAAATTTAACAACGATAATAAACTAAAAAGCGGTGTAATTAATGCTTAAAAGATATAAACTTGGTATTATTTCTATATTTTTTGCTGAGTACAAGAGGTCGGTATTATGTAAAACCGAGGTGGAAGACTTGTGTGTTATCAGATTTTTAGGTTTATTAAGATACTTTTCATGGTTTCATGTGGTGGAAGACATGATTGACACGTGTTATTTGGTTCTATCATCTTTTGAATTAAACATTAGGGTAATTTGTGTTTTAATCGGTATGTTCATTGAGTGCTTGTATAATATGGCTATAATGATATATTTCTATGATAGAGGTATGTTAATTAAACATGGTACGGAACCCATACATGGTACATAAGTCATAACACAAGAAAACGTAGATAACGCCTTCATAGCCTTCACAACCATACAGAAACCCAGACACAACCTAATAGAGAATACAAACACAACCTACTGCGCCTTAAACTGCTACGTGGCACCACAAAAGTGATTGTGGGTCAAATACAGAACCAAAACACCACACAAAAGTGATCGTGGGTCAAATACAGAATACAAACACAACCTACTGCGCCTTAAACTGCTACGTGGCACCACAAAAGTGATTGTGGGTCAAATACAGAACCAAAACACCACACAAAAGTGATCGTGGGTCAAATACAGAACCAAAACACCACCTAGTACGTGCTTAAAACGTACACATGGAAAACATTGCACAAAACCAAACACGCACAACCATTGCATAAAACCAAACAAATACAAACAACCAAAGGTACCTTGACGTGGTAGACAACCATAAAACAAACCAGCACACACAACTAACAGACCGAAACACGACGAACGTACAGACCAAAACAAACAACCAAAGCTAATACCATGGTCAATCCTGCGTGTAATCCATAGGAGTGGCGGAACATGTAGTAGACGGAGAATTTTCTTCCATTCATGTGCAGGATGAGAGGAGTTGTAGTTTGTTGGTTGCTTCACGGAGCCATCAGTTGACCCAGTTTGACTATATATAGAATGCTTTTCTTTTGGGGCCTTCAAACTGCTACCCATACAGAAGGCCGAACGCGGTGGTTGTTTCTTACGTGGAATGTCCGTTCGAACAGGGTAGGGCACTAACCGACTCGGTGGGCCACGCTTTGGAGTGTAGTCCTCCACATCTATAATTTCAACACTTTTGTCGTGTCCCCTTTTTTGCATTCCTATTGCCTTCAGTGTCACTATCACTGTCAAACAAAATATGATACTCGAAAGGAGGTATGTACGGCGGCTCCACGTGAAACAACTCGACAATTTTGTCATGCTGGGATCACCTTCCGTCATGTACGCGAGAGAAAAATTTCATCTCACTAGATGAAAAAAAAATATAATTTAGTTCGCAACTCTAACGTTGGTGTAACAAAGGAAAACACAAATTGTCAAAACTCACCCTTACAAATTGATGTCAAGTGTTGTCCGAAGCATGATACTTGTTCTGGCCGACGTTGTATTGAACACCATCCTTGTCTTTCAACGATGTGAAAACTTCATGTCGTTTGCCCAAAATTCCAAAGCGGGTTTCAATGTACTATATCGTGAAACTTTTGCGAAAATACGCATTGATTGCTTTCGTAGCATCAACTATGGACTCATTATTAGATGCAGAAGGAACAAAGATACCACAGAGCTTATGTTCAAGTAAATAATCGATTAGAAACTCATCAAAACTTGTTTTGGTGTCCAATGGAGGTCGTATAGATAGTCGGTCTGCACTACACCAAAAGTAGGAGCCATCGAAAATTTAGAACAAATACCAAATATTTGTGTTTTACTTCCTTTTGCGTTTGTGGATTACTTTGGTGTGCAGTGTGGCGTTTAAATAGAGAGATATTTTGATTGAATCTCAATAATGCATCACATGATAAAAGCCATAAATTATGGTCTGCATGTAAGTGATTTCTAATCAATTCAGCTTTAGAAATCACTTACATACAGACCATTATTGATGGCTTTTACCATGTGATGCATTATTGAGATTCAATCATGATATCTTCTTATTTAAACGCTACAGTTCACATCAAAGTAATCCACAAACGCAAAAGAAAGTAAAACACAAATATCTGGTATTTGTTCTAAATTTTCGATGGCTCCTAATTTGGGGTAGTGCAGGCCGACTATCTATACGACCTCCATTGGACACCGAAACAAGTTTTGATGAGTTTCTAATCGACTATTTACTTGAACATAAGCTGTATGGTATCTTCGTTCCTTCTGCATCTAATAATGAGTTCATAGTTGATTCTACAAAAGCAATCAATGCGTATTTTCGCAAAAGTTTCACGATAGAGTACATCGGAACCCGCTTTGGAATTTTGGGCAAACGATATGAAGTTTTCACATTACTCAAACACAAGGATGGTGTCCAATACGACATCGGCCAGGACAAGTACCATGCTTCAGACAACACTTGGCATCAATTGCTAAGGGTGAATTTTGACAATCATTTGTGTTTTCCTTTGTTACACCAACGTTAGAGTTGCAAATTAAATTATATTTTTTTATTTTTCTCTCGCGTACATGACGAAAGGTGATCCCTAACATGACAAAATTGTCGTTGTTTCACGTGGAGCCGCCGTACATACCTCCTTTCGAGTATCATATTTTGTTTGACAGTGACACTGAAGGTAATAGGAATGCAAAAAAGGATCACGACAAAAGTGTTGAAATTATAAATGAGGAGGACTACAATCTAAAGTGTGGCCCACCGAGTCGATTAGTGCCCTACCCTATTTGAACTGACATCCCACGTAAGAAACAACCACCGAGTTCGACTTCTATATGGGTAGCAGTTCGAAGCAGTTCGAAGGCCCAAAAAAAAAGCATTCCATACATAGTCAAACTGGGTCAACTGATGCCTCCGTGAATCAACCAACAAATTGCAACTCCGCTCACGCTGCACATGAACCGAAAGAAAATTCTTTGTCTACTGCATGTTCTGCCACTCCTACGGATTACATGCAGGATTGGCTCCGGTATTAGCTTTGGTTGTTTGTTTTTGTCTGTTCGTCCGTCGTGTTTCGGTCTGTTAGTTGTGTGTGCTGGTTTGTTTTATGGTTGTCTACTATGGTATTATAAGGTACCTTTGGTTGTTTGGTTTTATGCAATGGTTGTGTGTGTTTGGTTTTATGCATTGTTTTCCATGTGTACGCTTTAAGCACGTAGTAGGTGGTGTTTTGGTTCTGTAGTTGATCCACGATCACTTTTGTAGTGCCACGCGTAGCAGTTTTAAGGCGTAGTAGGTTGTGTTTGTATTCTCTATTAGGTTGTTTCTGTATGGGCGTTATCTACGTTTTCTTGTGTTATGTACCATGTATGGGTTCCGTACCATGTTTAATTAACATACCTGTTATGTCATCATGGAAATATATCATTGTAGCCATATTATACAAGCACTCAATGAACATACCGGTTAAACACACATTACCCTAATTTTAATTCAAAAGATGATAGAACCAAATAACCCGTGTCAATCATGTCTTCCACCACATGAAACCATGAAAGTGTCTTAATAAACCTGATAACACACAAGTCTGGTAGTGCGAAGTCGGTCCACCGCCATATTGAAGTCGGTTTACGCTTATGTGCGAGGTCGGTTTGTCACCTTACTTGTACCGAAGTGAGCTAAGTTGGTCGCATAAAATGAGCTGGAAGAAGTGTTGTGAATAATATCAGTAAATCTTCCTTTTAATCTTGGCAAATCAGGTCGGTTGTCAACACAATGTTTGGAAAACATAGCTGAAAAGCTAGCTTAAGCTTTTAAGTGTATTTCGAGCTTATAGCTGATAACTTATGACTTATGGCTGAAAAGCTAGTTTATATGATAAAAGTGTGGTAAATTAGCTGAGAAGCTATCTAAAATAAAATTTTCAATGTGCTTATTTGAAAAGCTACTAAAGAAGCTTATGAGTTAATCAAATAAGCTATAAGCTAGCTTATATGCTTACCAGACACAACTTAATATTTCCCCATTAATTATGTTTCCACCCCAGTTGTCATCGTTTAATTAATATATATGTTTTGGGTTGGTTGAATTTATCATGTGAATTTTTGAGGATATTTTCCGTTCTTGAATCCGTTTGTTTAGGTGTTGAAAGTGTACACCAAAGCCGAAGTTTCATTGCACAACAGAAGGACCGACTGTTGGATTATCATTAAAAATAAGGTTTTCTCTAAAATTCAATGTGTAATTCTGGTATTACTTGTGAAATGAAATAAAAATATGCTTATAAATAATAAAGCTTTTTTTTTTTTGTTTTTTTGAACATTTTCTTCTTTGTGAAGGTTTATGATGTCACCTCTTATATAGAAGAACACCCCGGTGGTGATGCCATCCTGGCACATGCTGGCGATGATTCTACTGAAGGTTTCTTTGGGTAAGTCTTGTTTACTCTGTTCAATTCTTCATGTGTGTTTATACTTTATAGCATTGTCTTGAAAACATATTTTAACCAATCGTTTATTCATGACCCCTCTTAACTCACTTTTGCCTAGTTTAAAACCGTGAACTTTATCAGGTGTGCTCTATTTGTTAAATTAATAATTAACTTGATGCAATACATTTCATATTGACAGGCCACAACATGCTACCCGCGTCTTTGACATGATAGAGGACTTTTATATAGGAGATTTAGTGAAGTGATTATTGTTTACATGAGAATTGTACAGTTGTATTTTGGTGAATGAATGAATGAATGAATTGCCGGGATGGTTTAAGGAGCTTTATACACACAGCACATAGTAAAATTGAATTTGTGTGATATGTCTTTGGTGCGACTGTCACAGGACTCTAGTTATTATAATAATAACTGGATACTGAAAATTTATGAAACACTTTGTCATTTTTTTAAAAATTTTGTTTTAGTTTTATTGACTTCAATATATAATAAGTGGAAATATGTGGGACTGTAAAAATGAGATTTGCTAGGTTTTTGGTTATTAAAGGTATGTGATTGTAACAAAATTAAGGTGTTAGTGTATGGCCATTGCAAATGTAAAAATAATTTTGTGTGGGAGTTTTTTTATTGAAAGTAGCTTGGAAATTGAGCCACACCATAGCAAAAGTTTTGGACCACTCACATTTTATCTAATAAACATGGACCTGTTGATGGCTAGGTCATTTCATAAATGTACCTTGCACAGCACTAAATGTATCCACCTAATTTGCAGCTACAATTTATAACTACCCATTTTTCTTGGTTAGGTGTGTCGTCATTTCATAATATTTTATTATACTTATCATATTTTTTTCAATTGATATTTTTAAGTTGAAATGTTATACATAAAAAATAAAATGCCACAAGCGTTATAGTTAGGTCATCATACTTTTTCACGAGATATTTTTTAAATTAAAATGTTATACAATAACTAGTACAATACATGTGTACTACACAGATACTTGTTAAGAAAATTATATTTAAAAGTAAATAATAATAATAATAACAAAAAAATTGCTTTAATTTTTAAATACTTTATAAAAAATATATTATTATTTATATTTAAAATGACACCGTCACTTACATGACTTTCCATCGTATATTCAATTTTTTTAATTTATATCAAATAACTACTTTGTACTTCAGTTAGTTTAAATAATTATGTTTTTTGAATTAATATTAATAGGTAATATAATTTTAATTACAAAGATAAATAAAATTATTTATTTTGTATGCATAACACAGATGTCAAATTGAAGGTCATCAAGACATGATTAATTTGATTTGTTAAATAAATAAATAAAAACTATTAACTTTTAGATATATTTATAACTTAAGTTGGTAAATTTGTTATAACTTTATTAGAAAGATTGGAAAAAATTATACCTTACAAATCACGTCTACAATAGAAAATAATATTAAAATATAATTAATGTTCTTACAAGGGACCATAAATATCAAATATATTTATGGATGTTTCAAGCCTAGTTACTTTTGAATTGGAAATAATTAAAATTCATCCAGGTCAAACAACAAAGATTAAATTGCACCAAACCGTGGTTATTGCATGAGGCCATTAGCGTCGCTCATCCACGGAACGTTATTCTCGAGAGGCTTAGGCTTCG